CTCAAAGTAGAGTTGACCATGATGATGCGAATGGACCTTCATTTGCTGAAGGGGCACAACTCAGAATGAAGAGAAACAGCTGTAAGCATCCATTAATAATCAAAACATGGAATGTATGAAGTATGAATCTAGGAAAATTGGACATTGTCAAAAATGAAATAAAATGCATAAATATCAATATCCTAGGCATTAGTGAACTGAAATGGGCTGGTATTGGCCATTTTGACCCTGACAATCACATGATTTACTATACCAGGAATGACAAATTGAAGAGGAATGGCGTCGCATTCATCATCAAAAAGAAGATATAAAGATATGCCATGAGGTACAGTGTTGTCTGTGATAGGATACTATCCATGAACCTATAGGGAAGACCAATTTATGCCACTATTATTCAAATTTATGCACCAACCATTAAAGCCAGTGAGGATGAAATTGAAGAATTCTACCAACTTCTTCCACTTGAAATTGATTAAATATGCAATCGAGATGTATTGATCATTATTGGCAACTGGAATGCAAAGGTTGGAAACAAAGAGGAATGATCAGTAGTTGGAATATATGGCCTTGGTGATAGAAATGATGCTAGAGATCGCATGATAAATTCTGCAAAACCAATGATTTGTTCATTTCAAATACCTTTCCTAAACAGCATAAGAGATGACTATACACATGGACCTCACCAGATGGAATACACAGAAATCAAATTGACTGTATCCATGGAAAGAGATGGTGGAAAAGCTCCATACCATCAGCTAAAACAAGGCCAGGGGAAGATTGTAGAACAGACAATCAGTTGCTTATATGCATTTTCATTATGCATTTTCAGACTGAAGCTGAAGAAAATGAAAACAAATCCATGAGAACCAAAATATGACCTTGAATACATCCCACCTGAATTTAGAGATCATCTGAAGAACAGATTTGATGCATTAAACACTAAAGACCAAAGACCAGAGGAGTTGTGGGATGACATCAAGAACATCATACATGAAGAAAGCAAAAAGTCATTGAGAAGACAAGAAAGAAGGAAAGGCTCAAAATTGATGTCAGAAGAGACACTGAAACTTGCTCGCCAGCATAGAGATGCTAAAGCAAATGGAAGAAATGAGGAGGTCCAAGAGCTGAACAGAAAATATCATAGGCCAGCTCAACAAGACAAAGTCAAATACTACAGCAGAATGTGCAGAGATCTGGAATTAGAGAACTGAAATGGAAGAACACGCTCAGCATTTTTCAAGCTGAGGGAACTGAAGAAAAAATTCAAGCCTTCGCTTTTGTTATTGAAGGATTCTCTGGGCAAATTATTGAGTGATGCAGAGGGCATCAAAAGAAGATGAAAGGAATACACAATGTCACTATATCAAAAAGAACTGGTTAATGTTTCAACTGTTTCAAGAGGTAGCATATGATCAAGGGCCAATGATACTGAAGGAAGAAGTCCAAGGTGCATTGAAGAAATTGGCAAAGACCAAGACACCGGGAATTAATGGAATATAAATAGAAATCTTTCATCACAGTTTTGTGGCACTGGAGACACTCATTCATCTATGCCAAGAAATTTGGAAGGCAACTATGTGGCCAACTGATTGGAAGAGATTCGTATTTGTGCCCATTCCAAAGAGAGATGACCCAAAGGAATGTGGAAATCATTGGACAATATCTTTGATATCCCGTGTGAGTAAAGCTTTACTCAATGTAGTACAGAAACAGCTGCAACAATACATTGACAGAGAACTTCCAAAGGTTCAAGCTGGATTCAGAAGAGGACGTGGAATGAGGAATGTTATTACTGACATCAGATGGACCTTGACTGAAAGCAGAGAATACCAGGAAGATGTTTACGTATGCTTTCTTGACTACACAAAGGCTTTGATTATGTGGATCATGACAAGCTATGGACAACATTGCGAAGTATGAATATTCCAGAACACTTAATTGTGCTCATGAGGAACCTGTACATGGACCAAGAAGCAGTTGTTCGAACAAAACATGGAAACACCGAATAGTTTAAAATTGGGAAAGGTGTGCGCAACAGGGTTGTATTCTTTCACCATACATATTCAACCTGTATGCTGAGCAAATAATCCGAGAAGCTGGGTTCTATGAAGAAAAACGTGTCATCAGGATTGGAGGAAGACTCATTAACAACCTGAGATATGCAGATGATACAACCTTGCTTGCTGAAAGTGAAGAGGATTTAAAATACTTACCGATGAAGATTGAAGAGTACAGCCTTCGGTATGAATTACATCTCAATGTAAAGAAAACAAAAATTCTCACCGCGGGATTAATAAACAACATTTTTATCAATGGAGAAAAGATGAAGTTGTTGAAGTTGTCAAGGACAATGTTCTTCTTGGATCAACCATTAACACTCATAGAAGCAGCAGTCAAGAAATCAAATGATGTACAGCATTGGACAAATCTGCTGCACAAGAGCTTTGTAAAGTGTTGAAGAGCAAAGATGTCAGCTTGAGGAGTAAGGTGCGCCTGACCCAAGCCATGGTATTTTCAATAACCTCATATGCATGTGAAAGTAGTAAATAGTGAATAGGAAGATGGTAGAAGAATTGATGCATTTAAATTATGGTGTTAGAGAGGAATATTGAAAGTACTATGGGCTGCCAAAAGAATAAACAAATCTGTGTTGGAAGAAGTGCAGCCAGAGTGCTCCTTGGAGGCCAGGATGGCCAACCCTGTTGCTTCAAAAACTAGGAGAACACTTGTCTGTAAAAGGACAGGCATTAGAGAGGGCGATTTATAGGAAAACATACTACATAGTGGCGACATCCTGTTTGTTTTGTTTTGATTTGTTGCTTGGCTTTTCCTCTCTTCAGCTTCAGTTATGGGTTAGCAGTTTAGGATGTAAATATTTACAAGATGCAATTACTCCTTTGCTAGTCTTAATCTCCTCTTTGAAGCTTGCCTATTATTGCCACATGCACCTGAGCAATTATATGAATTATTGTAAGAAACAGACATGGATGCAGTGCCCTCTGATCTGTACTGACGTCACAAAGGGGAAGAATAATGAAACTCAGGATCAGCCCATACCAGATTTCTATGCCTCCAGCCTTCTCTACCAGTTCTGACACCATCGATTTCCCACAGCATTCTCTACTTCTCACAATTCATTGCAATGGCCACACAGAACTTAGTACTCTCAATTATGGGGTTTCTTTGTGGATTTAATTGGGTACAGTTGAGGATCAGAGGTGCTCAAGGCACAGTTCTTTAGTCAGGACGGACTGTCACGTCTGCTGTGCTGAGACAGCGTTCTCTCACATCCTCAGCCCTGCTCAGGCAATGTTACAAAGCTGTTTTAGGACCACTGATAAATGCCTAAAGGACACATTACTCCACCATAAGCCTCAACCTGGGGCTCTTGACTCCAGTTCCATAGGTCAGCAAACCTAGCTTCCCCAGTTAAGTGTCTATAGGCATCTTGCTCCACAAACAAGCGCCTGTTAGAAGACACTCACCTTTACTTGCTCATTAGGCCAGGAAGCCTAAAGCCCAATGGGCTTTATCAGTAACTCTGTCTCGTGCTCTGGCTTTTACTTTTGCTGCTGCAGTCCTTTGCCACTTCCCTGGTGTCACAACCTTTCTCTTGGCATGAGGACGTTCAGCACAGGGTCTTGGCTCGCTCTTCCTGCTTCTGATATGACTACTTTTCTACCTACATGAGAGTTCCAAGGTTTTGTAATCACAATGAACCCGGTTAACAGTCATTCACAACTGAATCATATAATCCTGTCATCATCTTCTCCCACCCGCTGTTACCCACAGTCACCAAGAAAAACGTTGTTTGGTGGGAGTTAAAAAGACTATGACTAGAGGAAACACATTAAATAATTCTTTGCACCATAACTATACATGGTAACATAGCAGAAACTATATTACTGCTCACAAGGGGCCAGCCTTTGCCACATACAGGTTTTCCTGGGTTCTCAGAATGTTGGTCAACAACTTATTACAACTTTCTTTGAGGTAGTGGATGCCATTTAAAAATAGTAGCAGTTTCATATTGAAATTACGGGGCTGTACTTGCTCTCTGGCAGCATTCAACTAGAGCTGAGTTCCTCCTGTCCCTTTTGGAAGGGGCATATGCTTTATTCCAGTTTTTTGCTTTCATACAGCTATGACTGATTTCCTGAACTCTGAAGCTAAAGATCATTTTTATGCAATTCTGTTTTTTCATTATAGATTCAGAAATGTATCTTGTATTCATGTTAGAAAATGAAATCAAAATGGTTGCTATTTTAGAAATAAATGGAGACTATATTTCTTTATGGAAGTGATGAGTATTGCCATAGGTTTAACATGCAAACCATTTCTTTGCTGAAAGAATACCACTTTAAATCCTATTATGAAACAATCCAGGCTCACTTATTCATTGAGGCTTCTTGTCTGACCTGGTAGGCCTGTGAGTCTTTGACCTCTGAGCTAGTCCATCATCAATATTGTTTCCAGTTTTAAATCATAGCCTATTGAAATGATTTTGGATTAGTTTGAAATAGGCTTTATATCTGATGAAACGTAGAAGTGGATGCCTAATAGAGAGCTAATAGAGAGGTCATGTGATGTAGTTGAATGCTCTCCCTAGTCTAAGTTCTTATCCTCATTTTGGTACTAATTTTAGATCTTAGCCAAGGTACTAAAACATTTGAGGTTTCAGTTTCCTCATATGAAAAATAAGGAGATTGGGCTTTATCAATATCACATACTATTTATTCTAAAGGGCACTAAAAACATTAGCAGTGAGTAAACTCACATATACAAATTGAACATGCAGGTGAACAAGAGAATTGGTCTTTCTTGGCAGTTCAGAATGTTGGGATACTAGCGTTCTCTCCTTTTTTGAATTTTGTGATTCAAGATCTTGTGGCAGCATCTCTCACATCTCTGGTACACAAGTTCTCAGGACCTGACCTCACTGCCTCTTGTCTGCCTACCAGTCTGACTCTGTATTGTTCATTCATTTCATCCCCTTTCAGACTGATATTTACGGCCTGGCAAAGAAGTGTAACTTGACAGAGCGCCAGGTTGAAAGATGGTTTAGAAGTCGGCGGAATCAAGAGAGACCTTGCAGGGTGAAGAAGTTCCAGGAAGCTTGGTAAGACAGAGGGTCAAGGCTCTTGAAATGCTGCAATTTTATGTGGAGAAGGATGCTCATCTCAGAAAGAATACTGAAGTAGGGACAGAAGAAGGCTTCGAACCCAGCTGTCACTTACCAGTAGCGTGTTTTAGACTCGTCACTCATTTACTCTTTGGGCTTCCATTCCCATCTCTTTAAAATGGGAAGAATAGTGCTTACTTTATCTGCCCATCGTTGTTAAGTGCCGTCAAATTGGTTTCGCCTCACAGCAACCTGATACAGGGTTTCTGAGGCTTTAAATCTTGGCAGGAACAGAAAGACTCACCTTTTTCCCATGGAGAAGCTAGTGGGCTTGAACAGCACACCTTGTGGTTTGTAGTCCAGTGCTTATAGTGTGGAACCACTGCACTTGCTTACCTACCCTTTAGAGTTCTTATAAAATGAGAAAATCCATGGAACATTCTAAGCAAGCTACAACCCCTCTAAGATAAATAACAAGTATAAACCCTGGTGTGGTGCTGTAGGATAAGCACTGGACTGGTAACCACAAGATCGGCAGTTCAAACCCACCGTCTGCTCTAGGAAACCCTAGAGTCAGAACAGACTCGATGGCACACAGCAACAACATTTTGGACTTACCCCGAAGTCTAGAAAAATCATAAAAATGTCTTACTTGTTTTTATCTTGTTTAGGGTAGAGATTGACCTCATTTCATAAGACTTTATCGCTTTTTTCTAGTCACATTATAATTGTGAATGGAGAGAATGTGTTAGACTTTTACCCAAACTCCCCGCTGCGGATCGGGCAGTCAGTTTCTCCTGTTTCTCAGTTGGTTTAGCAAGAGGGTCGGGTTGAGCTGGGCCATCAAATAGGATTGTTACCACAGAACTGTTTTCTTTGAATACATTCCGAGAGCACTGAAGATGTACTGGATTAATGTTTTGTTTCGTTTGCGTTGTGGTACCGTAGGTCCCCCTTGGGGGCCGAACTGACACCTCAGTAAAAACGGACACCTGTGGACTCCGTCATTGTTCTTACTTTGTTTCCACTGCTTTAAATCAGACAAATGTATTAGTTGGGTTGCATTAGAGGCCACGTTCTACACACTAGTACTATTCCTTCTTTCTGTTTCTCAAGGTCCTCATATTGTCTAGTAAATTTCACCAAATATTTTTCCTTTGAGAGTGAAATGGACAAGGAACTGAGGTAAGAACTCTCAAATAAACAGAGAGCCTATGGGAAGTCTCAACTTTTGTGACTGCCTTTAACCGACTCTGAGTTTGTGAGTACTGGGAATCTAGCTGCGCCACCAGCTGATGGCAGGGTTCCTCAGACACGCATTTCTATTTACAAACTTCCACTGCCTTTTCCACAGTGGCTCGAGGTATGAAATGGTCTCGTTTGTTCTCTAACTAGCTTCTGTCTGATTTTTCTGACTTGAAAGAGTGCTTAATGTTGTGTTGCCACTGAGGTCAGCGTGGCATGGTGTAGCTCTCTACACCATCACCACAAAACAGTAAAAGTGGAGCTGAATTGCACCTAAAAATACAGAAAACTAAACCCACTGCCGTCTGGTTGATTCGCACGCATACATTGCATCTCCCCCTTGCCCAGCTGTCAGTCATTCTCATGAGCAAATGACTTTTATCTTACATAAGTTCTCCGGACAGGGACTAATTGGCTAACTCTGAGTGAGTCATATTCCAGATGAAGTCTCTGATAAGCTCTTAATGTGTTACTGTGCTTTACTGTGTGCCAGTAATGTTTGTTTGATCCTCCCACCAGTAAGGAGCCCTGGCAGCATAGTGAGTTATGAGCTGGGCTGCTAACTGCAAGGTCAGTAGTTTGGATCTACTAGTTGCTCTGTGGTAGACAGATGAGGCTTTCCTGTAAAGATTTACAGCCTCAGAAACCCTATACTGGGTCGCTGTGAGTCGGAACAGACTTGGTGACACATCACCATCACCCCCACCCACCAGTAGTGTGAGGCAGTCAGGGTAGACAGATGGCTTTAGCACCTTTTAAGAAATGAGAAACTACACATCCATCTTGTTTTAAAGGACTTAAGTTCACCTAGCACTCAAGTCTTCTGTCTTCAGTTCTAGTGCGCTTTCTGCTCCCTCACTCCGTAACCAGCAACCATTTGAATCAACAGGGCCCAAACCCAGGTGTCAATGAGCCACTGAAAGTCTGCCACTGATTTCAGACTACAGAAGGGGATTGTGTGTTCCTCACAGAGGAGCGTGAGTAGCTTCTTCATACTTAGCACTCACTACATTACATCGTATGGAGTTCCAGATTTTAAGAGGGAAGTAAAAATGCAAGGCACTGTCGCTAACTTTACAGTGCTGATTAGAGAGACCAGACTATTACATATGAAACCATAACACCTCTTGTTAACCTCATTCTGATGGTACATGGAACTGCATGCCAGCAGATACACATAGCTGTGTTTCCGTGTCCTGTGGGGTTCAGAGGAGATGGTGTCAATGAGGCCAGAGGAGTCAGAGAAAGGCTTTTTAGAGGAGAGGAGACCAATGCGGGATCTTAGAGTGGGTGGTTTCTATGATAAAAGGAAGCAAGTTTGAGGGCAGCATGTTTCAAGTAAGGCAAAGGCACAAAGCAAGAAATGAGTGTATGCTTAATACATTTAGATCCAGTTGAAGCTTTACCTTACTCTTTAGCAGTGTAAGTTTTGCCTAAGTCAGATAACTGTTAAAAGTTATGAATAAATGAACGGACTAAGTAAAAATGTTAAGCTGTTTAATTGTCCAAGGGCTACACTGTTTACATTATGGAATTTGCTGCAGAAATCTTAGTAAAGGCTATATACCCTGCTGCGTTTTGGACCTCTAAGGATCCTGATGCAGAGCTCTTCCAAAGGATTGTCTGACAGGGAAACGTTCCTCCATAATGTCAGAATGCATTAGCCTCTGAGGGCCTTGCTTACTGTCTTTAATTATGACTTTTAAGCTGGTGTGGCACTCTGGGATAAAGCACTGGACCTTCAGGTCAGTTTGAACCACAAAGCTGGTGGTTCAAACTCACCAGTCATTCTTGGAAACCCTATACAGAGTCACTGTGAGTCTGAACTGACTGTATGGCACTTAAAAAACATTGAAAAGGCTCTTCTTAACAGCATTTAGAATTTCAATCCATAGTAAGAGTGTTTTTTTCCTTTAAATTAAATTTCATGTTATTAGCTGATCCGTTTTCCTTTTAATACATGCCTTTATGCCTAGGAATAAGATGTTTACTGAAAAATGACAGTGTCGTTTTCAAGTACACAAGTGGTAGAGCTATCCCAGTGATTGCAGGTGGCAGAGCTATCCCAGTGATTGCAGGTGGGGCTTTCTTGGCTAGCCAGACCTGGGGGTAGGTGCATGGCCTGCTCCATCCCACCTTTCTCACAATGAGCCCACATCTGGTCCTGACAGCTTCTTATATCACTGGCCCAAGTTCGCTCTGTTCAGTTCCTGCCCTGATTTCACCCTGCAAGCCATCTTCTCTTCTTACCATCTTGCACTCTTTCTCGAAAGATTATTTTTCCACAGTTATGTTTGTCTCAACCTGTCCTGGGAAAAAGAGAGACTTCTTTTTACTTAATGGTCATTTGAAGTAAGTAAAATGTCATTAACAAGCAAATCATGATTAATCTTAGTACCAGTAAAATGCAGAAGTTCTCAAAGATTTTGGTCTCAGGACAAAAGTTCTTAAAATTTTTTGAAGGCCACAAAAAGCTTTTGTCTATGTGTGTTGTATCTATTGATATTTATGGTATTGGACATTCAGACTGAGATCATTACAAAACAGTATTGTTAAGTGCTGTCGTGTCAATTCTAACTCATAGCGACCCTGTATAGGGTGTTAAAGAGAAGCTGATGGGTTTGAACCACCGACCTTGTGGTGAGCAGTCCAATGCTTATCCTACAGCGGAAGACTACACAAAGATGCATTCATTAGCTATCAGAACAATGATGCAATCACTTGATAAATAGCTTCTGGAAAACACCACTGTACAATTGTGACAGAATGAGAGTGAAAAAGACAAATCAAATTCTGGTATTACTATGAAAATATTTTGGACCTCTTGGACCCTGTGAAAGGATATTGGGAGCTTTCAGGGACTCTTGGCTTACAACAATGGGTATACTTGAGTAGGAGTACCTTAGAAAATGTGCCACTTTGTCTTTACTACTTCTCAGTGTGCAACCTTGGGGAAAATGTACACTGATCTCTCTGAACCTCAGTTACCTTATGATTTCCTAATCTACTTTTCAGAATTGCTTTGAGAATTAAGCAACAGTCCATGGAAAGAAGATCATTATATTCCCTACTCCACAGGCTGTTGTGGAGATACATGACATAACACTTGTGTGCTTCACAAAGAGTCCAAAAGTCCATCTGTTAGGAAACGAGATGACCTGCACCACCCAGACTCCCCTCTGCCTCTGTCTCTGGTGTTGCTGCTTCTCTGGTTAGGATCCCACATTCTACTCATGCTCTTCCTTCTTGATGGTCCTAGGCTGGACTAGGTATTTTCATAATAATACTCGTTTCCGTTTGTTGCTCAGTTCATAGTCAACAAACTATGATTGGGATTTTCGCAAATTATCGTTAATCCAGTTTACGTTTTGAAGGAGGGGTTTTTGTTTTGGGGTTTTTTGTTTTTTTCCCTACTTTACAGATGAGCAAGTTAAGTGACTTACCCAAAATTAGAACCTGTTGCTATGAAGTCAGTTCTGATTCTCTGCCACCCCAGGTATTACAAGCTAGAACTACACCCCATAGGATTTTCCTGACTAACCTTTACAGGACCAGGGCATCAGGTCTCGCCTCTGAAGTGCTGCTGGGTGGGCTTGAACTGCCTACTTTGAAGTTAGCAGCTGAGTGAAGCCATGTGCTGCTCAGGATGCATTATCCAAGATTACAGATACTGAGTAAATGGGGGAACCAGAATATGAACCAACATTAAAAACCATTGTAAATTGGGTGAAAGTTTACAGAGCACATCATCAGTTTTACATTCAACAAATCCTCCACACGTGGTTTCCTCTCACCGTTTGCGGTCCCTTAGATGCCACATCACCACTTATCCCACTTCCTCCCTGGGTTTCTTGTTTCTGCTCCTTCTTCTTTCCCAAGTCTTCTGAACTCTGTCCCCGGGTCAATGCTACCCTTGTGTTGTTATTTCCCCTGTAGAATTATCTATTGCTTGGCTGAAAATTGAGCCATGAGGTGAGTTCAGTTCTAGATCTGCAGGCTGACTGTGTGAGGCAACATCCCGGGTTACAACCAGTTTCTCTCCCACTGGTAAGCCTTGTCTAGGTGGTGGTGTTGTTCCACGTTTTCCCCACTCTAACAAGGACCTTTCAGAGCAGCTGTTAGTGGTAGTTAGTTACTATCGTCTGACCTCAGGGTCCCGGATACTGATGTTCCTGTGGTCCACTTGTCTATTGGATTGGTTTCCATGCATCTGCCAGTTTTCATCACTCTTCTGTCCTTTGGATCGGGAGAGACCAGTAGTTGCACCATTATTATAAAAAAATCAAGACAAAGTTTTCACACTAAAGGAAATATGATTTGATGGTTACCAGGGATACAATGGAAAGGGGAGTAATTCATTGATTAGAGGATGCTGTTGCTAAGTACCGCTGAGTTGTTTCCATATCATAGCAACCCTGTACAGGATTTTCAAGGAGTGGCTGGTGAGTGTGAACTACCAACCTTGTGGTTCACACCAACCTTGCAATCAAGTGCTTATCTTACAGCACCACACCAGGACTCCGGTTAGAGGATAGACATGTGTTAACTGGGTAAATGAGAAGGCAATACGCAATAAGAGAAGGTTGGCAAAAAAAATGATAGAGGCAGAGGAAGACACAGGGAGGAACGTAAGAGTGAAAAGCAACAGAGATCAGTACTGTATGTCAATTACCTTTACAAGAGAGTAAGGACTTTTCTTTCTTTTGGCAGCTGGCGATTTATATTTTATTTAATAATGACTGTGGCTGGAATTGCCTTCCTTTATGATGTAAGTTGTCTTTTTGATGTCTTTAATTGTAATTTGTCTTTAATTTTTAAAATCTTGCCTGTGAATTGCTTTTACATATAATACTTTCAGTGTGTGACACTCAGACTTTTAGCCTGAGTTTGTTGTTGTTGTTAAGTGCCATCAAGTCAGTTCTGACCCATAGCAACTCTGTATAGGGTTTCCGAAGAGTGGCTGGTGAGCTTGAACTACCGACCTTGTGTTTCAAACAGACCTTGCAGTTCAGCACATTAACCCACATTCACTCATCCTGATTTACCTAAAGGAGCTTTGGTAGCAAAGTGGATTACGAGCTGAGCTTCTAACCAAAAGACCAGCAGTTCGAATCTACCAGCTGCTCCATGGGAGAAAGATGAAACTTTCTGTTCCCGTAAAGGTTTACAGCCTTGGAAACCCTATGCAGAGTTGCTATGAGTCGGAACCAAATCCACAGCACATAGCCACCACCGCCATTTACCTGACATTTGTCTCATTCAGTTAGTTTATAGTGAATATAATTACATCTTAATATTTATTTTCTATGCCACCTGTTGTCTAGGATTTGTTCTAAGGTATAATACTTTCTGTAAGACAACCAGCTTTTAGAGATTTCCTTCAAGATTCTTAGAATAATTTACTGCTACAGAAGCAGTAACATAATTGGCTCAGGAATAATCTTGTTAATACAAGGTGGTGTCAAAAATTCATGGAAAAATTGAATGAAAAGATATATGGAGTTTTTCCATGAAGTTTTTGAAGCCCCCACATGTTTTCATTCATTTGAAACAATTTTCCTCTTAAGATAGCATTGTTTCATGGATTCAGATTCATTAGAAGTAGTAACTTTCTCATGGTTGTTGTAGAGAAATATGTAGAATGATAGCAGCAGGTGTATGGTAAAAGCACATATTGCTGAGCATCTTTGCCTCCTATAAATGACATCAAGAAGAGCTTATGTTATATGCTGAAGTCCACCTCTAACCCTGACGAACCTTTCTTCTCTTTGTATCTTCAGAAGCCTTGGGCATATAACCTATGGGAGGTCTGGAATGGTTATCCGAAACAGGTAAGTCCCTATGATCCAGTTCCTCCTTTACTTTCATAGTGAGTGTATCTTACTAGTGTTACTATTCCTCCTATATATCTATCTACTGCTTGGCTAAAAGAGGATGAGTTCCTTTCCAGACCTGGAGGGTGGTCGATGGCCACAGTCTCAGGTTCTTCCAGTTTCTTTCTGGCTAGTAAGCCATGTCTTATGTATTTAAAAAATAATTTTGAGTTTTGTTCCACACAGTATGCCACGCTATCCAGGACCTTCTAATGCAATCCGTGTCAGAGTAGTTGGCAGTGGTAGCTGGGCACCATCTAGTTCTTCTGGTCTCAGAGGTTCTGGAGACTAGTGTCACACATTCCATTAGTCTGTTGGACTAGCTGATCCCAAACATCTTAAATTCTTATCACTCTTCTTTCTTCTGCACATAGACCAAAAGTTGCACCTTAGATGGCCGCTCATGAGCTTTTAGTATCCCTGACACTACTCACGCAAGTAGGATGCACATCATTGTCTTTGTGGACTATGTTGTGCCAACTGACCATGGTGTTCCCCCAAGACTCCTATTGTCCTGAGCGCACAGGCTCAGCTATTCCTTGCCTTGAAATGTTTGATAATTCCAGTTTTCATCATTTTGCCTGCTGTATACTATACTCAACCACATTCACAGCTGTGTTTGCAGGAAAGGCAAATATTCATGTACCAATTTCCTCTTTTACACTCTTGTGTATCTCTGGGAAATATAAATATATACATTGTTGTTGTTGTTAAGTGCCATCGAGTCTGCTCCAACCCATAACGACCCTGTATACGGTTTCTGAGGAGCGGCTGGTGATCTTGAACCACAGTCCAGTGCATTAACCCTCAGTACCACACCAGGAGTCCTGCAAAATTGGTTTGAACTGCAAGGTTGGTGGTTCAAGCTCACCAGCTGCTCCTTGGAAACCCTATACAGGGTCGCTATGGGTTGGAGCCGACTTGACGGCACCTATCAACAACAACAGCGTACATACACGTCTACACACATTCTACTCTTCCTCCCGCAGTCATTCAGTGAGTGTCTCGTTCACGCACCGACCCGCAAAATGTTGTTGCTCCCTTTAACCCTTGTATCCCACCCCTGCCTGCCTTCCAGTTTGGGCTTTTCTTTCTTTCTTGTCTTTTTAATGAACTTTTGTTTTCTTCATTTATGATATCCTTGATGTCATCCCAACCCGTCTGGTCTTTGGGCATTCATATTCCCCACAGCTCGTCTCGTCTTTGGGCATTAGTATTCAGTGCATCAATTCTATTTTTGAGATGGTCTCTAAATGAAGGTGAAATAAACTTTGACTTCCCTGGACTTGCTTTACTTTTTTTTGGCTTCAACTTGAATTTGCATACGAGCAATTGATGATCTATTTCACAGTCAGCTCCTGACCTTGTTCTGACTGATGCTATTGCATTTCTCCATCATCTTTTCCCCCATGGATGTAGTCAGTTTGATTCTTGTGTATTCCATCTTGTGAGTAGTCATCATTTAGGTTGCTAAAACAAAGGTATTTCCAATGAATAGATCATTGGAAATCTTGCAGAAGTCCATCATGCATTCTCTGCCATCACCTAAGCCATGTTTTCCAGCTATGGATCCTTGTTTGTTTCCAACTTTTGCTATTGTAATTATCAAAACATCTTGACTGTATGTATGCTTGATCAATTTTAGATTGCAGGAATTGGTAAAACCATGAATGCCTTCATCTCCGACTTTGGTGATCGTTGAGTCCCTTTGAATAATAGTTCTACTCACTGGCCTTCCATGTAGCCGTATGGACGCTATTACGGTCACTGCTGTACTTCAGGATAAGTCTTGAAATGTCATTTTTGACAATGAATGTGACACAGTTCCTATCTGGTAATTTGGCATCACCAGCATAGAAGACCATATAATTGCCTGATTCATAATGTCAAATACCAGCCAGTTTCAGCTCTCTGGTGCCGAGGATATCTACCTTCAAGTGTTTCATTTTGGCTTTGACAACTTCCAATTTTCCTAGATCTATACTTTGTACAGAGTCCTGGTGTGATGCTATGGATTAATGCATTGGACTGCAAAGTTAGTTTGAGTGCAGGGTCAGTGGTTCAAGCCCACCAACTCCTTGGGAATCCTATACAGGATTGCTGTGGATTAGAACCAACTTAATGACACCTAACAACAACAAATACTTTGTATATGCCAAGTTTTGATTATTAATGGCTAGCTGTGTTTGTTTTTCTCTCACTTTGAGATGTGCCACATCAGCATGTGAAGATCTACATCATTAGATGGGCTTAAGCTTTGGGATCTTCGTGTGCTGATGTGGCACATCTCAAAGTGAGAAAAAAGCAGACACAGCTATCCATTAATAATCAAAACTTGACTTTGAGCAGACAGCTATTCTGCAATCATATTTTGAGTGCCTTCTAACCCGACAGTCTCGTCGTCTGGCACTTTATCAAACAACATTCTGCTGTTATTCACAAGGTTTTCACTGGCCAATTTTTTTTGAAGTAGATCACCAGGTCCTTCTTAGTCTGGAAGCTCTGATCAAACCTGTCCAACAAATATCCCTGCTGATATTTGAAATACTTGGCTGTTGTTAGGTGCCTCAAGTTGATACCAACTCATAGCAACCCTATGTGCAACAACATGAAACACTGCCCGGTTCTGCGTCAACCTCAGAATTGTTGCTACGCTAGAGTCCATTGTGGCTGCCACTGTGCCAATCCATCTCATTGGGGGTCTTCTTTTTTTGCTGACCCTCCACTTTACCAAGCATAATATTCTTCTTCAGAGACTGGTCCCTCCTGATTATATGTCTGAAGTATGAAAGACGAAGCCTGACCATCCCGGTTTCTAAGGAACATTCTGGCTATACTTCTTCCAACACAGTTTGATTGGTTCGTTCTTTTGGCAGTCCACGGTACTTTTAATTTTCTCCTCCAACACCATAACTCAAATGCATCAGTTCTCCTATGGTCTTCCTATTCACTGTCCAGCTTTCACATGCATATGAGGTTATTGAAAAGACCATGGCTTGGGTTAGGAGCACCTTAGTCCTCAAACTGACATCTTTGCTCTTCAACACTTTAAACAGTTCTTGTGCAGCAGATTTGCCTAATGAAATACATCGTTTGATTTCTTGACTGCTGCTTCCTTGAGTGCTGATGGT